AAAAAAAGTAGACTTCTTATGTAGATAATAAAATTTTAGGGTTGAAACCACATCTTGAGTGTGGCTGCGCCCCTCCTAATGGCAGATAAAGTATCCCTTGTGTTCCAGGCTCTTGAGGGACCCTGTGGACGAAGAGGAAGGGCAACACCATGATGCTACCACGTAGTTCCCTAGTTCGAGAACTGAATGATGCCAGTGTGGTGAGTTTCTTAGAATTAGGGGCCTGGGAGACATGAGTTTCTAATTATCTTCCCCGATGGAGTCTCCTCCAGTTATCTGTGGAGAACAATACTATTCAGATCTACCTACGGCTCCAGCTGGTGGAGTACTGTTTGGAAGAGTCAGGAATTCTGCATGGTATGTTTGTTTTCCAAAAGGCAAACAAGCCACCAAAAAACTCACTGCCATGTTGTTGATCTTGACTATGTAGGGCTTCTGAGACTCTACATCTTAATGGGAGCAGATAGCCTCGACTTTTTCTCTTGGAGCAGCTGGTGGGTTTGAACCAATGACCTAGCAGTTAGCAGTCCAGTGCCTAATCCACAGTGCCACCAGGCCTCTTTCATAGTGGTAAAGTATTCAGTAAAACAGTCACAGTATTGGGCTAAATAAGATAAGTCCATCATTCACTATATTTCAAAACCCCAAATATTGGTCAAAATATCAATCAAGAGTTGAGTCACTGGGGCATCCCAGGGGATCTGCCAGAGAGGAGTACAGTGAGTAGGGAAGATTTGTTCTCCATGACCCCCATTTTCCTTGCACTTCGGAGGCTGCCCAGAATACAAATACAAATACCCGCCCCCTCCCCCAAGCCATCGCCACCACCATCAGCACACAAACCAAATGCACCATTCAAAATAATTTCTGGCAGATGTTTTGTTCCCTAGGGAAGCTGCATAATAGGACTTGCTTTTGTCCAATACAATCTACTTTCCAGTGCAGTGGGAGGGGTTTAAGTTACAGGCCCATTAAAATTGTAAATTGGGACGATGCAGTGCAAACTTTCTGAAACGAGAACCTCACGGGGCTGTTATTCATCACCTAGCTTACTGATACACCTCAGGGTGATTATCATTACCTGCTACACTATCACCATCTGTTAGGGCAAACCAAACTCCCTGCCACTGAGTTGATGCTGACTCATCGAGTCAGTATCAGGGGAGAACGGCCCTCTGAGTTTCCGACACTGTAACCCTGTTTTCAAATTGACCTTAGAGTTGGTTAGCAGCCCAACGCATATACACTATGTCACCGATGCTTATCAGTGCATCCCCAATCCTACTGCACCCAGACAGCTGGCTTTCTTCGGTGGTGGTGGGTGGTGGTGTGGTGTTGGTTAAACGCTACAGAGTTGGCTAATGTCTAAGACAATCATTCTAAGGAAAGGTGTGAAGACATTTTATCCTCGCATGGCGATCGAGGGGAAATTTATGATGGTTCCTAATGCTACTTCTGTCAGTGTCTCTGGAATTCTAATTAGATTATTAAAACTTTGCAAATCATTCCATTATGCCCAGACTCCACAGCTCACTGCGGCAAGGGTGCTTTGAAAATCAGAGGATCCTGACCATCATAGGTAATGATGCATTGTTGATAATAAAGTTGCAGGAAAATTCCTCCAATAAAAAAGAGTTGGAGGAGACAGAACCCATTTATCATACTTCCTCTCACCCAGTTTTCTGCCTGAGGATAAGATGCCTAGTGCACAGAACCACGGCCCAGCCTTTTCCAACTCATGTTTGCTAAAGTGCTGCAAAGTTTAATGCATTGTCACAGCTAGTTAAGAAAAAAAAATTACCCACTCCCTAAATCTGAGAGACAAATCAAGAAATCCATAAATGAAAAGAAACCTGAAAGAAGTATATTTTTAGGGGTGATATGAGACAAATTGTGGCTCCCAGGCATCAACTACGCATATGAATGGTGCATCCTAGGGGGTTTTGATTTATAATACCCGCATTCAATGCTACACCTGAAAAGGAACAAATTAAATTTCTTCCTCTTAACCCAGATCTATTTGCAGGTAACAGATGGGCCTGCTCTTTACCCATCAAATAATGGCTCTGATGCCCTTAAACATCAGTGGATGAGGAATGGGGGTTGCCCCTTGTCCTCCTCAGGATAACCCCATCCCTGCAGGTGAAGCTCCTCACCCTTTACATCCCAGCAAACGGAAGGGGGTGGCGTGGCTTACTCACCATGATGGACGACGCCCTTCAACCCATGGATAATGGGATCCAGTGCAGAATTGTCCCTCGGACTGACCTACATGTAAAGGAAACACGATTGGTTAAATCTACTCTGGCATCAGACACAACAGTTGCAGTTTAATCTTCTAAAGAGAAGGGAGGGGGTAATAGATGTTATCAAGCAAGCTGCTTAGGTCTCCCTCCCATCCACCAGGGCTCTCACCAAATGCAGGAGATTTATGACATAATAAAATCAAGTGAGGAAATCTAAATCAAAAGAAAGAAACTCCTCAGAATACATTAGAGCGGGAGAAATAACATCGTCCTGGCAAAATCTTTAAAAGCAACCACATGGCTTCTCTCCTGTATAGTATTGAAAGGAGGCCATGATCAGCTAAAAGTCATTGAAAGTCATCAGAGGGTGATTCATCCTTGAAAGAAAATTTTAGAGCCTTCTGGGAACGTGTTTTCCCCTTCTTTCTATAATATGGATCTGCTTCCTACCAGTCAATGCTCCGTTCCAAGGATATCCATTTTCCCACCCTTTAAATCACATGGCTTTGACCAAAGACCTTAGTGATGCAGCCAGAGGCTCACAATGTATTTAGATACAAGGCTACCTTGTTTCTCCTAATTGGAATTCGAGATTCTGAGTGAAGAAACTGAGACTTTTCTGCTGGCAGATAAAGAGATCCCATAGAGTGGACAGAAATAATCCCAGACAAGGTCATTCTAGACCCACCATCCAACCAACAACTAGACAGGTGCGTGAGTCCATTCTAGACTATCTGGCCTCAGGTGAATCACTGCAGTCTAATGAAATCAGCTGAACGGGCCTAGACCAGAAGAATTATTTGGCCAACCCACCCAGTTTGAAAGTATTATATTCTTTAAATCAAATTTGGAGATCATTTGCATAGAGCAAATGTTAACTGCTATAGTACTTGTGAATGTGTGTAGGGGTGGAGGATGGGGGACAGCTTTTGATATCATTCATTTTCTTAACAAATATAGTCTGCTTATGATTTATTTTTAAAGGTTTCTCAGTGAGATGCCACATTCAAAGATGGACTATCAACTCATGATCTCGTTCAAAACCCTCGTTATCCTTCTTCTACCAGGGCAACTTTTAAGAAACTATGATCTCTAATCCCAGTTTGCAGAGAGATGTTTTGTAGTCAAGGAAATCCTTCAGTGCACTTAATCTTATCTAATGGTACAAAGGCTCCAGGAAAGGGTTCTGATCCTCCAGGACTGAAAGCCACAGATAACACTTATAGCCTATACCGCAGGAAAATAACCAGGCTTCTTATTTCAGGCCCCACTGCAGGTCTGGCCTTCTTCAAGCTGAGGGTCTGCCCACAGATTCTAAGCAACCAGAAATAAAATGTCTACAATGCCCTAGTTCTTTCTGCAGCCTCCACCATGCATTGATATGGCTAGAACTGAGATGGTAGATGAAGAGAAGGGAAGAACAATATGAAGATTATTTTTATTATTATCAAAATAAAGTGCTCGTTACACTGAGCTGACTCTCCAATCTAGGTTTTGGCTCTAAAATTCAGAGTTGAGAATTGAAATGCAATGCTAATAGGTGGATTTGTTCCAGTGAGGCATAACCCGAACGGAGAGAATCCCTTCCACTCACTATTTCATCGGTGGTAATTTTACAAGTTGACAAAAAGGCATGGATATAAACCAGTCCATTTGGGCAAAAGTTTAAATATGCCAATGGCAAAGAAACTGGTTTTAGCCCTCCCGTGTTCTCACTGGATTTCCATCCATGGCTGTTGTTAATTGCCATTGAATCAACTCCAACTCAAGGATATCCATGTATATCTACAGCATAGCACTGACTATGCCAGACAATTTGCCAGGCAGTGATTTTTATAAGCAGATCACAAGGCACTTCTGGGTGGGCTCAAATACCACCTTTCTGTTAATCATACTGCGCCTCCCTGTTCACATCACCCAGGGACTCTCCATTCACGGCAGGGTAAAGCGTACCAGTTACCAGATCCACCGAGTCCATGCGGAGACTCATGAGTGACAGAGGAACTGTGCCTTCAGGGAGCTTCTCAATCTATTTTCTTTTTAAATGTTTCCTTTGTTGTTGCTGCTGAGACTATACATAGCAAAACATACACCAATTCAAGAGTTGCCACATGTACAATTCAGTGCCAGAGACCCCATTCTTCCAGTTATGCAACCTTCTCACCCTCTTTTTACTGAGTGTCCCTCCTCCGTGAACATACACACCCTGACCCCACTGGTTCTCATCAAATCTTTCGAGTTGCTCTCGTCAATTTGACCCTAAATATACAAACCCTGCAACAAGTGCAAGCCTCAAGGCAGCCATCTGTTTTTTACAAGTTAAAGTAAACTCTAATAGCAAGTTCACTCGCGTTAAGCTAAACTACTGAAATAGTGATTTGGTTTTATTGGTTATGTTAAACTAGAATAGCGACTTAATATCTAAGTGCAATAGCTATTGGAGTTCAAATTTCAAAAGATCAAGATCTAGGTTTTATTTGACAGTGACTCAATTTTGCAAGATACAATTCTCCTTTTGAAGCCACAGAAGGAGTTTTCCTGGCTTTTGAAATGTGGTCCTTCCACTTTGAGATCAAAGGAGCTACACAGTAATATTGAGAAGACGGTCATTGCATCAATGAGCTTAGAATGGACTCGGGAGAGATGGGGACCCCCTTCTTGCTGGAGTCTGTACTCTCAGTGCAAAACTTAGCTCCTGGCACTTTCATGGCAGGGCTGCTCCGTGGCATTAGTCATTTTCAAAAGGATGGCATGTGCACACCAGAGAGGGCTCTCCAGCCAGGCCACCCAGTTGCCTTCCAGCGTAACCAAGGAGGAGAAATTAAGGACACAGAACCGATAGCACTTGCATTTAGACTAGAGACCACATACATATCTGTGCATGGAAGCTCAACTTCACAGAATTTTCTTTCCAAATAATAGCCCACCACAAGGATTCGGCCAACTATCAAATTAGTGGCCACGTTATTAATCACCTCTTCGGAGGAATCCATCAGCCAGGCTCTGCAGGAGGGCCTGTGTTTAATCCTGCCGGGAGCACAATCAAGTGGAGGTGGGCGGGCCTGCCTGGCTGTAAGGCCTGCGTTCAGATGTGTGCTGCCTTCGCCTGGCCACTGCGCCATGTGGCCTTGACTTGGAGCCTAATAATCTTCCATCGATCTGTTCCTGGCCATCTGCTAAATAGGATGGCCAAGGCAACCAACTTGTCTTGAATTTGCTAGTGCCAGCTGCTCCTTTAGTGCCATAAACGTCACATGCAGCCAATATTCTCCAGTGGGAGAAGGGATTTATGCCTGCTGAGGGTGAGAGGCTGCCGCGGGAACCACTGCTGCGGGGAAAGTGACAAACAGCAGGGCTGGGGATGCCACGCGGCCTTCCAGAATTGCAGAGATGAGGATCCATTCGCCTGGATGGTTAGCAAGTAGTGGGGCATTCGGAAGCTAACGTGCCTGATCAGGGCAAGAGCGAACACTGCACATGTGGTCTCATTTCATTTCCCTTTCCTTCTCCTCGGAGCCCTGGTGGCGGAGTGCTTACTAGCTGGGTTGCTAACCACAAGGTCAGCAGTTCGAAACCACCAGCCCACTCTGTGGATGAAAGATGAAGCTTTCTACTACTGTACAGAGCTACCGACTCAGAAACCCACAGGGACAGTTGTACCCTAGAGGGTCGCTGTGGGTGTCCTAGAGGGTCGCTGTGAGTCGGCATCAGCTGGAAGGCATGAGATAATAGCTGAAATGTTGGTGATTCTAACCCACTCAGCAGCACTGTGGAAGAAAGGCCAGGCTAGCCAACCTGTTCCCCTAGGATCGCCGCCAAGGAAAGCCCTGTGGAGCCACAGTTCTACTCTGACGCACTTGGAGCTGCCATGAGTTGGAGAGCACCAGGGGGCAAATGGGTTTGGTTTGTCTGGTTTCACCACATTTGGGGATGAAGAGCTCCCCTTGTACAAAAGACTCATTCCTGGGCTATTTGTGGACCCCAGCACTTCAGTCAGAGGAGTTCTGGTGGCAGAGCAGGTAAAGGGCACGGGTACTGACTGAAAGGTAAGCGGTTCATCTCTGCAAGCTTCTCTGTGGGAGAAGATGTGGCACCTTTTTCAGTAT